AATCAAACTCATTGCCCTCAAGTCGATTCTGACTCATAGCAACCCTACAGGACAGACAACTGCCCCATAGGGTTTCCAAGGAGCAGCTCGTGGATTCGAACTGCTGACCTTTTGATTAGCAGTTGAACGCTTAACCACTGTATTACCCGGGCTCCAAAGACAAAGATTAGACAGGCCTATAAAACAAACAATTACAGTAACACAAGTGAAAAACGCTGCTTCTTAGTTCAGTCGAATATATAAGAACAAATGGGCAGCTCCTGCAAAAAGTTAGATGAGAAGGCAGGAAGGGGCAGGAACTGGATGAATGGATACAGGGAACCTGGGGTGAAAAGGAGGAGAGTGCTCCCACATTCTGGAGATCGCAACCATGTCACAAAATAATGTGTGTATAAAGTTTTAAATGAGAAACCAGCTTGGGCTGTAAACTTTCACCTAAAGCACAGTAAAACTAAAAAAAAAAAAACTGACTATGGTATGTAGTTTTATATACTACTTTATTTATTAAACAGTATATTGTAAAAGGTTTTCCATAATTATATTTTCTTTAACAGCATCTTTTTCAATTACATCATAATAGGAAAAATAACAGTAACTTTTTGAGGCACTGTGCTAAGCATTTTATTTACATTATCTCAATTAACCTTCAAGGATATAGCTCACGCGACTGTAGAGGCTAGAACGTCCCAAGTCCCTGGATCAGGGTAGAGGCCTCTCCCAAGTCATGCAGCCGCAGAAGCTGGTGAGCCCAAGACAGGCAGGTCGGAGAGCAGGGCTTCTGCTTATAGGCTGTGAAGGTCGAGGAATTCCAAGATTGGCAGGCAAGACCACAAGGTTTCTCCTAATTCATGTAGCTGCAGGGGCCGGCGAACCCAGGATCAGCATGTCAGAGAGCAGGGCTCCACTCATAGGCTGTGAAGACTGATGAATCCCAAGTTTGGCAGATAAGCTGACAGCTCAAGTCCCAAGAACCGGAGATGAAACAACAGGAGGCAGCCGCAGGATCCAGAGTAACCAAAAAGCCAGAACATCTGCTTATATTCAGATGCAGGCCACACCCCCAAGGAGACTCCCTTTCATCTGACTAGCCACTCACAGTGTATTCAATCATGGGAGTGATCACATTAAAACACTGAGAATCATGGCCCAGCCAAGTTGATGCACAATCTTAACCATCACACCCCTGCAGGGGGTAGTCTAAACCAAAACCAAACCTATTGCTGTTGAGTCAATTCCAACTTATAGCAACCCTATGGGACAGACTAGAGCTGCCCCATAAGATTTCCAAGGAGCAGCTGGTGGATTCAAACTGCTGACCATTTTGTTAGCAGCGGAGCTCTTAACTACTGCACCACCAGGGCTCCTGGTGGGGGGAGGGCAGTGGTAGTCTAGATAGGGTAAAAATAATGCCAGGGAGGGGTTGTTGCTATGGATTGAGAGGCATGAGGGACCTGGCCAATCTCGTGCTACTTAGCAAGTGACAGACTGGGATTCAAACCCAGGTCCACCTAACTTTGAAGCATGAGCTTTTGGTCATCATGATGTTCCCTTGTAAGGAAAGACCACAGCTTGTTTAACCAATCTCCTGCTGCTGGACAATTTGTTGTTGTTAGGTGCCGTCAAGTCTATCCTGATTCATAGTGACCCTACGTACAAAAGACTGAAACACTGCCTGGTCTTGCACCATTCTCACAATCGTTGTTCTGCTTGAGCCCATTGTTGCAGCCACTGTGTCAATCCATCTTGGAGGGTCTTCCTTTTTTTCGCCAACTTTACCAAGCATGATGTCCTTTTTCAGGGACTAGTCCCTCCTGACAACATGTCTGAAGTATCTGAGATGAAGTCTTGCCATCCTTGCTTCTAATGAGCATTCTGGCTATACTTCTCCCAAGACAGATTTGTTCGTTCTTCTGGCAGTCCAGGGTATACTCAATATTCTTTGCCAATACCATAATTCAAAGGCATGGATTATTCTTCACCTTTCCTTATTCATTGTCCAGCTTTCACATGCGTATGAGGTGACTGAAAACACCATGGCTTGGGTCAGGCTCACCTTAGGCCTTGAAGTGACATCTTTCCTTTTTAACACTTTAAAAAAATCTTTTGCAGCAGATTTGTCCAAGGAAATGCAATGTTTGATTTCTTTTTTTAAACTTTTTTCTTTATTGTCATAGTCTAAATGAAGTTTACATTTCAAGTTAGTCTCCCATACAAAAATTTATACATACATTGTTATGTGACCTTAATTGCTCTCCCCATACTGTGACAGCACACTCCTCCTTTCCACCCGATTCTCCATGTCCATTCAGCCAGCTCCTAACCCTCTCTGCCTTCCCATCTCACCTCTGGACAAAAGCTGCCCATTTTGTCTCTTGTATCTACTTGAGCTAAGAGGCACACTCCTCACGAGTATCACTTTATGTCCCACAGTCCAGTCCAATCCCTGTCTAAAGAGTTGGCCTCAGAAATTGTTTTAGTTCTGGGCTGACAGAGAATCCGGCAGCCATGCTTTCCAGGGTTCCTCCAGCCTCAGACCATTAAGTCTGGCCTTCTTACTAGAATTTGAGTTCTGTACCCCACCTTTCTCCTGCTCCATCAGGGACTCTCTGTTATGTTAAACGTTTGATTTCTTGACAGCTGCTTACATTGGCGTTGACTGTGGATCCAAGGAAAATGAAATCCTTGACAACTTCAGTCTTTTCTTCATTTATCATGATACTGCTCATTGGTCCAGTTGTGAGGATTTTTGTTTTCTTTATGTTGAGGTGTAATCCACACTGAAGGCTGTGGTTTTTTATCTTTATCAGCAGTACTTCAAGTCCTCTTTACTTTCAGCAAGCAAGGTTGTACATATCGCATGCAGGTTGTTAACAACCTGTTAACTTCATATAGTCCAACTTCTCGGATGATTTGCTCAGCATACAGATTGAATAAGTACGGTGAAAGGATATAATCCTGATGCACACCTTTCCTGACTTTAAACCACGCAGTATCCCCTTGTTCTGTTCGAACTACTGTCTCTTGGTCTATATACAGGTTCCTCATGGGCACACTTAAGTATTTTGGAATTCCCCTTCCTCGCAATGTTATCCAAAATTTGTTATGATTCATACAGTCAAATGCCTTTGCATAGTCAATAAAACACAGGTAAACATCTTTCTGGTATTCCCTGCTTTCAGCCAGAATCCATCTGACGTCAGCAATGATATCCCTGGTTCCAAGTCCTCTTCTGAATTCGGCTTGAATTTCTGGCAGTTCCCTGTCAATTACTGCTGCAACTGCTTTTGAATGATCTTCAACTGCTTTAGAATGATCTTCAGCAAAATTTTACTTGTGTGTGATATTAATGATATTGTTCGATAATATCTGCATTCTGCTGGATCACCTTTCTTTGCAGTGGGTAAAAATATGAATCTCTTCTAGTCGGCTGGCCATGTAGCTGCCTTCCAATTTCTTGGCATAGACAAGTGAGTACTTTCAGTGCTGCATCCGTTTGTTGAAACATCTCAGTTGGTATTCTGTTAATTCCCGGAGCCTAGCTTTTTGCCAATGCCTTAAGTGCAGCTTGGACCTCTTTCTTCAGTAACATTGGTTCTTGATCACGTTACCTCCTGAAATGGTTGAACGCCAACCAATTCTTTTTGGTATAATGACTCGGTGTATTCCTTCCATCTTCCTTTGATGCTTCCTGTGTTGTTTAATATTTTCCCCGTAGAATCCTTTAATATTGCAACTTGAGGCTTGAATTTTTTCGTCAGTTCTTTCTGCTTGAGAAATGCCAAATGTGTTCTTCCCTTTAGGTTTTCAATCTCCAGGTCTTTGTACATGTCATTATAATACTTTACTCTGTCTTCTCAAGCCACCCTTTGAAATCTTCTGTTCAGTTCTTTTACTTCATTATTTCTTCCTTTTACTTTAGCTACTCTAAGTTCAAGAGCAACTTTCAGAATCTCTTCTGACATCCATTTTGGTCTTTTTTTCCCTCTCCTGTCTTTTTAATTACCTCTGGCTTTCTTCATATATGATGTCCTTGATGTCATTCCATAACTCATCTGGTCTTAGTCATTAGTGTTCAATGTGTCAAATCTATTCTTGAGATATCTCTAAATTCAGGTGGGATATACTCAAGGTTGTACTTCAGGTCTCATAGACTTGTTCTGACTTTCTTCAACTTAAGCTTGCACAGGAGCAATTGATGGTCTGTTCCACAGTCAGCCCCTGGCCTTGTTCTGACTGATGATATTGAGCTTTTCCATCTTCTCTTTCCACAGATGTAGTCGATTTGATTCCTGTGGTATTTGAATACCTGCTGGTATTTGAATACTAGTGGCATAGCTTCCAGCATCATAGCAACATGCAAGCCCCTATAGTATGACAAACTGACAGATGCATGGGGAGAAAATTTGATAGTTTCTAATTTTTCTCTGTCATAAACAGTGTTATTATGAACATCCCTACAGCTAAAGCTTTGTGACCACCTCCCTGATGGAAACTTTTCCTGACTGCTCTAGGCAAATCCTGCTTCTGAAACCATCTGTGGAAGGACCATCCTTTTTATTTTCAATCCATCATGGACCAATAGTTTGGTAAAATACAATGAAAATGAATTCTTAGAAATACAAAATAAAAGATGATATACAAAATAAAAGCCCATTAATAAAATTATGAAATTCAAGAGACACTGTCAAATTATTACAAAAGTTTCAAAATGTTTACTGTTAATTTCTGTACTTAACCATGTAGAGAGCAAGACAAGAGCGTGGGGACTAAGCCTGGAATGTGGACTGCAACTGAGTTGTGCGGCTCTAGAGGGCACCTCTGTTAAATTGCACTACCATTACCTGTTTACTTGGTCTCCCTCCCTAGACTGTGAGTTCCACCCATGTCTGGTTCATTACTGAATGCTCTGGCTCAGCGCCTAGTGCATGCTTGTGGACTCTGTGGAGTAGAGAGTGTTCAGGTAATGTCTCTGGCCACAGCGGCTAAGAGAGGCTACTCACCATTTGGGACCAGCAGGAGGCTTTTCACGGTGCTTCTGAGGGGGCCAAGACTGATCTGATTAGTGGTGGCAAATTCAGAGAGCTGAGCCAGAAACCTTTCCACCTGCAGAGAAGGAGGAGTACAAACCAGGCCTTCACTTTCTAAGCATCTCAGGACCACAGTCCCCCCACTCAGGAAGTCTTATCACAAAATACTTTACCTCTTTTGGCTCAGCTAGGAAGTGGAAAATCACTTCTGTAAGGGCTGAGAACTGCTGTGAAGAGAACAACACAGAGCATCAGTAAAATTCCCACTCTTGCATCAGTGTTCCACATCCCATCCAACTACAGACCCTTGGGAGAAAAGAAGAAATAGCACATGTACCAACGCCTAGCAAGGTTCGCATTTATTAATATTGACAGCTTTTTCTCCTCCTCCTCTTTCACAATGGTGGCTTCAAAAGTTCTGAAACTTCTCAAAAGCCATAAATTAACTCTATTTAAGAATTATCCAGAAAGTCTTCAAAACAATACTACTGCCCAAAGTTGTTATGCTGTCAAGCGATCTTGGAATCAGGATCCAGACTTAGTGTAGGCCCAGGCCACAAGCTTACTGATGACAAAGACTAGGTCTCACACTTCCATTTCTACCTCTCCTTCACTGTCCTGGCACAGAGTTGGCATCCAGACAACATATGTGTTTTGAATAACAAACCACGAGAAGCAGGGAGGCAGAAGTGGTTATGAGCACGCGTTTTGGAGTTAGGTCTAGTTTGAACCATTTCCACTGCCTATAACTAGCTGTGTCTCTGGGCAAGTTAGGAATAAACAAGAACATGCTGAGGAGGCAGGGATCGTGGTTATCTCCGTCACTGGGCAGACACACCAAGCAAACCCTGACAACGGAGGGCGGGCATAAGGGTTATAAGGGACATGGAACCTGCATCCCAAATCTGTTGTATTAAGCAGAAACAGCCCTCCTCCGTACAAGGGAAGGAAAGCACTAAACCCAAACAGGATATTGAAAGAGAAAACAATGTTATATTCCAGAATACAAAGCATAAATTTAGGAATAGGATAATTAAATCAGGGGGACAAAACAATATTTGTACTATCTCATATATGTTTGGACCCTTGTCATAATTAACATTTAATGACACACAAAAAAACTGTGCAGATACTTCAGCTCATGTCAAATGCATCTGCTTCTCTGCTCTGACACACTAAACTCCACATATACCCCATCAAGGCTCTGTATTATTTCGTTCTGAAATGTACTTTATTTTAAAATAGAAAACTAGTTTTCAGAAATGTTAAAGTAATATATATGCATGGTTTTTATAAAAACATTTCCCATTTCTCCCCATCTCTAGTCCTACTCCCTACAGACAGGTACTGCTGACACTTTCTGTAGTGATCTTTCTGTCGTTTTATTTTAGTTCTTTTAAATACAAATAGGATCATTCTGAATCATTCCCCTGTATCTTGCCTTTTTTCTACTTGATTATATCTTAGCGATCAATCCATGTCAGCAGATCTAAATCTACCTGGTTCTTTTAATAACTGCATGGTATCCTACTATAACCAGTAAACCAGTTGTCACTGAGTTGATTGTGACTCATAGAGACCCCACGTGTGTCAGAATACAACTGTGTTCCATAGGGTTTTCAATGGCTCGCCAGGCCGTTCTTCTGAGGTGTCTCGGGGGGGATTCCAAACGTCAATCTTTCAGTTAGTAGCTGAGTGCTTAACCAGTTGTGCCACCTAGGGACTCCGTTCCACTAGATAAATATAGCATAATTTAACTCGCTCCCTAGAGATGAATGTTAGTGTCTGCTGTTAAAACAAACAATGCAGCAATGAATATCCTCCCACATATTTCTTTAAGCACATGTACAAGCATGTCCATAAGATAAATTCTTAAAATGTATCCTGGGTCAAAGGATACATGCATTTTAAATTCTGAGAAAATGTTGCCAAATTGCCTTGCAAAAAGGTTATGCTCATTTATACTTCCACCAGCCAATGGCATACAAGTGTCTTGTTTTGCAAAACTTCATCAACATTCCCTAGGAGCAATTTAACCAATCCTGACCCAGGGGTTATCTTCCTACAGTATTTATATTAGGTATATAACCTCATATAACAGCTGGTTTTTATATAGTAAAAACAAGAACAGCCCAAACTGGTTTAAGAATGTGTCCCAAATTGTTGAGTTTTCCTTTAAAATTTTTGCTACAGATCCGTGGAACTGTCAGATCTTTGGCCAATTGTATTTCCTATGCTGCCCAAAGCCTTTTAATAAAAATGGGGTGGCTGAGAAGTTCCTCAACAGCTTTCCATTTTCAGGCCTCAGCCTACCATTCAGCCTTAGCTCTACCTCCTTGTCAGGTCTCATTCCCCACTTCTGTTCTCAAGAGGGGCCTCAAGCTGTTACTGATACCCATCCCTATCTCCACTTTTCCAAACCTTCCTTGTCCTTCAGAGCCCTGCCCAGATATATCACTTTCCTCCTAAATTCCATGACACTCCCAGAGAGATGGGTCCTACCCAGGTTCTCAACTTCTGAGGCCCTCTCAGAACCTCGCCTAGGGGCACTAAGAATTTTCAACCTTGATAACAAAAAAAAAAAAGAAAAAAAACAACTCACTGCCGTGATAAGGAACACAACTGTGTCTTAGCAGAGGAGGCTCTTGTATGACTTTGTATCCTCACAGCATCTTAAATACAGCAAGTGCAGAGTAACTATTTGTTGCATAAATCTTCTCTAAACAGAAATAGCACTTTCCCTATTCTTTGCCTCTGGTACCTACAAAGTTGCCTCACATCCATGACTATGCAGGTGTATCAAAATCTCACCAGTAAACATATGAAAAGATGCTCAAGATCATTCTAAACTAAAGAAATGCAAGTCAGTAAAACACAATCACCTTTCAGATCTACAAAAATACAAGTCTGCTGACACCAGTGCTGGTGTGAGTATTAGAAAACAGACATGCTCGCACACTGCTGATGGGAGAATAAACTAGGGTACCCTTTTTGGAGGGTCATTTGGTAAAACATATCTCATTTTTAAATCTCATACCGCCTGACCTAGTAATTCCATCGCAAGAAGTATACCCCTCAGATATACTCCAAAAAGTAAACGAAGATGCACTTACACAAAGCTGTTTGTTAAAGCATTGTTCTTAAAAACCCAAAAATCTGCAATTGAAATGCCTATTATTAGGGGACTGGTTAAATAAATTATGGTAGATCTATTTCAAGGATGATGCAGCTGTCAAAAAGAATGAAGTAGATCTATTTGTGCTAAAGAGGGAAAATACCCATGATACATTATTAAGTTAAAAAAAAAAAGCAAGATGGAGAAGAAGTATGTACAGAATGATCCCTTTAGTGTAAAAAATTTTAAAGGAATACATATACATATGCTGGCAGATACATACACTTTTTATCTATAAAGATACACAAGAAACTATTAAAATGGGTATTTCTGGGGACAAGAGAAATACACATTTAACTTTAATTTTACACCTTTGTAGACCATTTAAGGATCCCTGGTGGTGCAGTGGTTAAGTGCTCAGCTGCTAACCAAAAGGTCACAGTTTGAACCCACAAGCCACTCCAAAGGAGAAAGATGTGGCAGTCTGCATCTGTAAAGACTGCAGCCTTGGAAACCTTATGGGGCAGTTCTATTCTGTCTTGTAGGGTCACCATGAGTTGGAATTGGCTCCATGGCAACGGGTTATCTTTATGAAAGCAGACTGCCACATCCTTCTCCCGTGGAGTGGATGGTGGGTTAGAACCACCGACCTTTGGTTAGCAGCCGAGCGTTTAACCACTGTGCCATTAGGACTCCTTTCCATAAAGATTACAGCCTTGGAAACCCTATGGGGCAGTTCTACTCTGTCCTATAGGGTTGCTAGGAGGCAGAATCGACTCAACAGCGAAGGGAACAGGTATACTGTTTGAATTTTCTCAGCGTGTACTGCTTTCATCTCTAGCTAGGCTAGAGGACTGTGGCCATTTGTTTTCCTCTTTGTATTTTTCTCAATTGACTCTCATAACCATTCTAAAAATGGTTATATTTTAGTCCTACCTATAATGAAGGCTCCATATTACTTAGGTCTGATCATAGGCCTCAGAGAGCTCATCTACACAAGCACTGTGCTGCTTCTCTACTTCCTGACCTGCCTTAGCAGATTAGAACTTTCCTAGGACTAGAGACTGTGTCCATTAAACCTTTGTAAAACTCACTGAGTTTAGCAGCTATTTGGTATATAGTAGGCATTCAGGTAAAATACTCCTCGGTGGTGCCAACGTTAATAGAATTCTTTTGCTCCTTAAGGCCTAGGCCTCAGGCATCAAAATAAATTTGGCTAACACAGTGGGTGAGGAGCCCTGGTGGCACAGTGGTTAAGTGCTTGGCTCCTAACTGAAAAGTTGGCAGTTAGAACCACCAGGTACTGCGTGGGAGAAAGATGTCTGCTTCTGTATGGATGACAGCCTTGGGAATCCTACGGGACAGTTCCACTCTGTCCAGTAGGGTCACTAAGTCGGAAAAGACTCGATAGCAATTTTTTTATATAGTAGGATTATCCAACAAAAGGGGAAAAATATGGCCCAAACAACTCCAGTAAGTGGCTTATCAAGAGAAACTTTCTGTATTAAAAATGCAGCCAAAGGTTTAGAGTGTGTTTCAAAATTAGAAAGTCAGTGAAGCTCTGATTTTAAAGGAAGTGGTTTGTCTTCTCTATGAATACCAAATTTGGAATACCTTAGCGATCATACAAGCCAGTGATTTAAAAAGTCTTAAGTTTTTAACCGCAGAATATTTTTTATTCTCCAAATAGAAGTCTTCCAGAAAACTCCAATGCATAAACAAGTAAAAACCAATCTACCTGGCTGGGGAGATCATCTACAAAGCTTTCTAGTGTGCTTAATTCTCCAAGCTCTGAAGTCAAATGGTGGGACTGTAATTCCTAGCTCCACCACTTCCTGGCTGCTGTACCTTAAACAGGTCAATTATTTCTTTTTATTTTTCTCATCTGTAAAACGGTAATAACAACAGCACTTACTTTTTTTTTTTTTTTTTTTCAGGAAATGGTGCTGGTATACTGAAGTATTCTTTTTTTTTTCTTATTTTAATGTTGTACTTTAAGTGAAAGTTTACAATTCAAGTTAGTTTCTCATACAAAAATTTATACATACATTGTTATGTGACCCTAATTGTTCTCCGTGTACTGTGACACCACATTCCTCCTTTCCACCCCTGATTTCCCGTGTCCATTCAACCAACTCCTGACCCTCTCTGCCTTCTCATCTCACCTCCAGAGAGGAGCTGCCCATTAAGTCTCATGTATCTATCTGAGAACAGCACGTACTTTTCAGGGCTGTTACACATAAAGCACTTAAAACAGTGCCTGGCAAACAGTGCATGCTCAATAAACGGCAGCTATTTTTATTTAGCTGCGCTGTGCTTTCGTCTCCTTATCTGTAAAATGTTAATAATAATAGTACCTAAATTAATAACAACAACACCTCCTACGGTAGTTGCGTGGATTCAATAAGTTAATACACACAATAGCACTTAAAACTGTGTTGTATAGTACTGTGGCCACTACCACATGTAATTACGAGCACTTCTAAATTTAGATATTGTATAAGTGTAAAATACACACTAGATTTAGTACCCAACAAAGGTAAAATATCTCACTGATAATTTTTATGTTGATTACATGTTGAAGTGATAATATGCGAATACATTAGATTAAAGAAAGTGTATTCTTTAATAAATTAACTTTCCCGTTTCTTTTTAATTCTTAAAACTGGAAATGTGGCTCACAATTTATTTCTATTGGAGACCTGCAGGCTTAGAACATACCTGCCATTATAATCATCTATACCATCACTTCATGAGAAAACAATCATTTTTGGAATTTTGTTTGTTTGTTTGTTTTTTAATTCTCCATGTATGGGAAGCTTTGGGGGATACTGTGATAAAAGAGAGGGGTCCCACCTCCTGGGAGGTTACAACCAACAGAGAAAATAAATGCACCCTAGAGTGCTGGAGAAAAGTGTGATTTTAACCTATTAAATAAATAGGCTGCCTTTGTGGTACCAAAGGGGTACCCCAACCCAGCACAGGTGGAGTAGGAAGTCTCCAAGGCTGACCTGGCAGGCACCTACGGCCTGAATAGAGAGAAAAGGCTTTGCCTGCTTCACCTCCATCAAGGGCAAAGTCCTCTACTGTATATAAGTTTCTTTTCTTGGGGACTACCACGTAATCTTCTTAACTCAGAGGTCATAACTAGCTTTGCCTCCAACTCTGCCAGCTCAGGCCCATCTCAGGGCCCAAAGAGCCTCACCCTGGCTTGGCCCTTACTGACATCCTCATTCGACCCCCAGATTATCTGTCCCCCACCAGGCTCCCCTTGGGAGGCTCAGACCCTCCTTAGTGTCCCCAACCCCCCCAAATCTCCTTACCAATCAATCTGTCAGTCCCTTCCTTAGCCCACTAAATTCCCCCACCACCCCAAACGCCCTCAGCCTCCCAACTCCCTTAGTCTATTCCTTCAGTTCCCCAAACTCCCTTCAGCCTCCTTAAACTCCCTTCAGTTCCTCTTCCAGGACTCCACAAACTCTCCTCGGGCCAGGACCCCCTCATTCTCCTCTGAAGTCGCCCAGTCCCACCTCTGGGTCCCCACAAATCCCCTCGAACCCCTCAGCTTGCCCTTAGGCCTCCCGAGTACCCTTGCTCCCCCAAACCCTCCTCAGACCCCAATTCCCCGTAGCTCCTCCCTGACACCCACTTCACACACTCAAATGCACCCAGCACCCCTCGGCCAAGTCCCCTGAAACTCCCCTCCGACCCGAGGAGCCCTCGGCCGCCCTCGCGGCATCGCCCTTGCGGCATCCCCCTCGGGCCCCGCGGCCTGGCTGCAAACCCACCTGCGCGCCGAGCTGGTTCAGCTGCTGCATGTCGCCGCCCACAGCCTCGGGCACAGGGTCTTGCGTGCAGTACAGGCGGCCCATGGCGTCCGCCCCGGCCCCACAAGCCCAACAAGCCCCGCAAGCCCAACAAGCCTCGCAGCCCCGCCGCCTTCCTCGGCTTCCTCCTTTCCTCCTTCGCCACCGCCGTCCGCCTCACTGCGCTTCCGCAGCCGCACTTTCGCCACGGCCCGAGCTCCTCCCCTGACCGTCCCGGGTGCAGGCGGGGGAGCGCCTTGGCGGAGCAGCGGGCGCACGCGGACCTCAGGGTGTGGGGAGGCCTCGCGGAGCCGCGGACGCGCGCGGTCTCTACCCGCAGTGGAGGGCCTTAACAAGCAGAGCAGTCAAACGCGGATCCCCAGTGTGATCTTCCGCTGAGTGACCCCTGGACATAGCGCTTGGCCTCTCTGAGCCTCAGTTACACTATCTGTAAAACGATTCCTGGGGTGGCTGCTTAAATGAGTTAACTTCCTAATATGCTTAGAACGGAGCCTGGCACACAGGAGGCCCTCAATAAATGGCCAGTTGCTGTCATTATTATTATTATTATTATGCATTCAGCAAATACTTGTTGCATGCCTACTAAATTAGATGTCAGGCACTAGGGATAGAGAAATGAACAATACAGGCCAGAGTGTCCCTCTGAAAGCTTATGACAGAGTAAAGCAGTTGGTCTCAAGCTTGGGTGTACATCAACGTCACCGGGAGGGCTCCCTAAACACAGACTACGGGTCCCACTCCTAGAGTATCTGAGTAAACGGACATGGGGTAGAGCCTGAGAGCCTGAGAATTTGCATTTCCCACAAGTTCCCAAGGACCACACTTAGAGAATCACCGAATCACCGGAGGGGAGGAAACTGACTCACCAAAGTTTATTCAGAGAAATGAAAGGGTTATGACAGTGTCCAGGAAGGCGGTGGGCTGGTTGGTGAGGGAAAGTATTGGGACAGTGATAATCAGCGCAGCCCGTGAAACACTTAGACCCCCACAATCTGTCTTCTCAGGGATCCCTCACAGTCCCCGGGTGAAGATCACCCTGATCCCTACTGGACAGAAGAGGAAACTGAGGTATGCTCCCTGGAATCTAGGACTACTGATCCCCAAACCTAAGAGCTTCACCTACCTCTGAATCCAGCCTTAAGGGTGCAGAGGGGTGCCTAGAAACCTTGGAGGGGGGATGTGGGAGGATTGGTTGGCCTTCCCCACCAGGCTTTCTTCTCTACCCTTTCCCCAAAAATTCCTTCTTGTAGGATATGAACAAAATGTCTTCAACCCACAGGCCAAGCCCACACCTGTTAGTCATTATTTCATCTATGATTCATGCAACAGATAATATTGAGTGTCTACTGTGGGCCACACACCATGACGGGTGCTGGGGACACCATAGTGACAAAGCCAGATGCAGTCCCTGGCCTCAAAGAAGTCAGAGTTATAGTCAAGGTGGCAGACACATGCGTGAAGTTCATGTGTATGTGAAATTAACAGGCGCCTGTCCCAATCTAGGGTGCCTGGAAGACAGTAAACCTTCGGGTTTCTAACATACAGGGACTGAACTCAGAACACCTGACTCACTGTTCAGGAATTTTGATTTAAAAATATTTTTAAATCTTTTTTAAAAAGATCCCTGTCAGGGCATTATATTTATTTACCTTTAAATTTTAAACCAGCTTGTTGAGATACAACTTACACACCATAAAATGCACTCAATTCAAGTGTATTTTTAAAAATTATTTTTAACTTTCTTTTTTTCTTCCTTTAACATCCTTGAGGAAACCACTGGGTTTCCTTCATTTCTGCTCCCACAGTGACTGGCGCTGTGCACTCGATAAATATTTGTGGAGTTGAATTAGCCCATGTGACAGAAAATAGAAAAAAAGGGAGGAAATTCACTGGAAACTGCTGCCCAATGTTACAGTAACACAAAGACTGTCTTGTCTTCCAGTCTTTTTCCACAGAGCAGGTCATTGGGATTTCTGTGAAGGGTCTTGTTTTTACATATTCAGGGATCTCCCTTTACGAGGAGCGATTTAATCCCTCCTCGTTACCGGGCGGAAACCCCAGGTTTTGCTCAGTTTGAGTCAGATTCTACTGGAAGGCAACTAATAACAACACTTAAAGTGTGGTCCCTGGGCCAGCGTTGGCATCACCAGGGAGCTTGTTAGAAATGCGGCATCTCAGGCCTGCCCCAGTCCTGCTGATTTGGGATCTGCATTTTAACCAGTTCTCCAGGTGATTCAGGCACGGTTTGGGTGCAAATAATAATAATTTAAAAAAAGAAAAAGAAAAAGGCGATTCCCTACTCGTGGCGATCCCATGCGCGAGGGAACAAAACACTGCCTGGTCCCCATGATCAAACAGCACTAACCCACTGCCTTCCAGTCGATTCTGACTCACAGCGACCCTAAAGGACAGGGTAGAACTGCTCCATAGGGTTTCCAAGGCTGTAAATCTTAGGAAGCAGACGGCCACATCTTTCTCTCGCGGAGCCTCTGTTTTGTTTGAACCACTGACCTTTTGGTTAGCAGCCAGCTCTTCAACCACTGTGCCACTAGGGTTCTCAAACAGCACTAGGATGGACAAAATTTCATGGTGGGGAAAGACAGCATGACAATCTCTCTGGGCACACCCCAAAATTACCATTTCAACCTGAACGGGGACCTGGAGGTGGGTGAACTTTATTATAAATCGCCGTGGTAAGTTTCCCCTTCCAACCCACATTTCCTCCACCCGAAGCAGAAGAAATCCAGGTCCTCTCAAATAAACCTCAAAATCTCAAACAACCCCATTCCTGGCTTCAGTTATAAACATTATCATAAAACGCTGCATAATATTCTACTGAGCGAGAATATAATAATGTCCATTATCAATCTTCAGGGTTACCTATTTCGGTCTTTATTTTCAGTTTCTTCAATTTTATTAAGAATTTTTCAACTAACAAAGACAATAGGTAAAAACACCTTTCCAATGTTCTCCTTCACAAGCCACTATTGAACGAAGAACAGGAGTGGTGATTACTGTTAATGCCCTAACTTTGTAACCGGAAATGCAGTCCTGGATCAGGCCTCTTCTTCTGGAGAGGTCCAGGCCCCCAGCAGCTCCCATTTTAGCCTTAACGAGGGACCCTGCTCCCTTCATTCACTTTAAAATATCCCTTTGGAGGGCAATGGAGCTCCCCCTGCAAGTGAAAGGAGCTCATTAAGAAGTAGTTTCTGACACAGAAGATTCCTGCTGGGAATTTCACTGAGATGTCAGGTCCCGGCAATGAGGAAAGTCTGACCCTTTGTGCTAGAAAAATTTTTAAATTTAAAAAAATTAAACATTTTATTTTGAGATAATTGTAGATTCAGATGCAGTTGTAACAAATAATACAGAGAAATTCTTTCTACCCTTTACCTAGTTTTCCCTAGATGGTAACATCTTACAAAACGGGAGTACAATGTCACAACAAGGATATTGACATTGATCCAGTCAAGATACAGAACATTTCCATCCCCACAAGAATTCCTCACATTGCCCAAGAGCATTTTAACAGAGGAGACAAATGCCAGGCCCTCTTTATACTAAAAACTGGAAGAAAAAAAGGACTACTGTGAACATTTTTATGTTTCCATTTACTGTGATCATCATCATTATATTACATCCTTTATTATAAAATTGGATTAACAAAAACGCAAAGATATATTTGACCTAGAATTTTCAAAAATCCCTATGTCAGGAAGGACAAAGACTAAGGCAGGCTGAGGAATTGTTCCAGATTAAAAGAAACTAAAAAAGACAAGACAACGAAACGCAATGTGTGATCCCGAATTGGATCCTGGATGGGGGTGAATATTGCTACAACATATTATTGGAACGCTTGATGAAATTTGAACAAAGACTGGAAATTAGATAATAATAATTGTATCAATTGTTTAATTTACTGAGTTTGATAATCATACTGTGGTTATACAAGAGAATGTCTCTGTTCTGAAGAAATAGGCACTGGCATATTTAAGCAGATAAAATGGCTCAGAAAAAAAAATGAGTGTATGTATATGTAGAGAGAGAAGAGAAAAGCGCACAACTATGGCAAATGTTAACAACTGGTGAATCTGGGTGAAGAGTATAAAGGTATTCTTTGTACTATTCTTGCAACTCTTCTGTAAATTTGGAATTATTTCCAAAATAAATAAAACAGGGTGAAAAAAGAGTTAATGACCTTTGTTCCTTTCCCTTCCATCCCACCCACAGGGAAATGACTTTCGATCTGAACTGATGCATCTTTGAGTACTCACTCTGGCAGGGGTACTGGGTATTTACATGCATTTTCTCCCTTTAACCCCACCAAGAGGTAGTAACTCTTGTCCCTGGTTTGTGGAAGGGAGGGATGGGGTTCAGAGGGGAGAGGTGTTTCCCGAGATCACTTGCGGTGAGGGATAGGACTAGGATTAGGATCACTCTTGAAAGGCCTCTTAGGATTTTTCTTCATGGTTTTGTTTTGTTTTCCAAACCATGGACTCATATATATTTTCAGCATCTTACCTTTTCATTTAGCAGTATGCTTTGGATATCTCTCGATACCAGTATTTACAGACTTACTAGTTCTTTTTCACAGCTGCGTAGCATATTTAATTATATAAATGAAGCCTATCTGATTTAACTAGGCTCCTATTGATGGACACGTAGGATTTCCCCATGTTTTCACTATTACAAGCAATGCTAGAAGGAACATCCCTACACAATACAGATATCTGTGTATACCCACATGTACTTGTAGAATAAGTTTTTAGAATAGAATTTCTGGGTATGTTTGTAAACATTTCATTTGGGTAGGAGTTGGCCAAATTGCCAAAGAGGAAGGAAGGATTTAAAGTGAGCTTTGTGGATACATTTGTCTATTCATGCAACATGTCTTTATTAACACCTACTATGTGTCAAAGTGCTGTGTTAGGTGCTGGGACAGAGCGGTGAGTGTGACAAAGACTCTGCTGTTCGGAGGCTGACTATCTTCCAGGGGAGACTTTATCAGGAACTTGCTTTATTCCAAAAAGGATTATGGAGAGAGGAAATAAAGGACATTTAAAATAGGAGGATGAAAGGATTAATAAAAAAA